AATGACTTGATTTGATTACATGTTCTTTAATTTTTATTTGTTTTCATAATAGTAACATTTATGCCATGTTAAATAAATTTTGAAAATTTCCTTCACCATATGACGAAAAATGCAACAAATAAATTTGACATTGAACTAGGTTCAAAATTATTGAATTCCTTTGCAATTCTTTTTTTGTGTCAAAAGTGTTAGGTTTTAATTGTTTTTGTAATTGACAAATTCTGTGAACAAAATGACTTAAATTGATAGTGTAAAAGTTTAAGAAGTAATGTGTAATTTGTTTAAAAGTTAGTTAAATAGGTATAGGGTTTCGAGTTTGGAATAAAGAGGAAAACGGCGCGGATTTTTGCTAGACTGTCGCCAAGGGTTGGCTCAAGCTACAAAAGCAGAAACTGCATCGCTAGACTGTCGCCCCTCCTTCGCTCAAGCGACAACTTTAGTCGGGAAATTTTTATTTCGCGTTTTAAAGACTTTTTCCCTGGCCCGTTCGGTTTTTGACCTACCTATAAATATCAAAACTCACCTGTACGAAAAATCCAAGGTTGAACATTGAGAGAAATAGATCAGAGTGTGATTCCTCCATATTATATTATTTAACCTTCATCCTGTGTGAGATTTTTGATCAGAAAAATATCATATTCAACATCCAAATATCAAATCACTACTTCCTACATATCTTTTAGAGGTGCTGAAGATCGAGAAAGGTGACTGAAGTTTCAGTCTGAGAAGAATGGGTTGTTCTTCATGATCCACAAGAGATAGGCGATTCTACCAAGCAAGGGCTGCTGCAGGATAACGGAGTTCTAGGAGAGCGTTGGTGATTGCAGCTGAAATTGGTGCATGGGAGCACAGAATTCAGGAGAGTTATCAGAATTGTAGTCATGAGATCAGATAGTTCGTGTCATCGTCTAGTCTGATAGACTGTAAGTACATAATTGTTTATAGTGGATTGACTAGCAAAGTGCTCGGAGTTTTTTCCCAGTTGGATTTCTCCGTGATCATCTTGGTGTTGATTACTGCTTTCATTATATAGATTGATTTTACAACTACGGTATTCAAACTTAAGACTAAAGTTGACTTGCATGGATAATCATCTAGAAAAGAATTAAGAAGTGAGTTGTTGCTGATTAATTCGTTAGTAAATTTAAATTCCGCAATATTACACATATTCACTCCCTTCCAAGTATTGTTAGGGTCGAACTTGCGTTTTTCAAAAAGTTTCAATCAAATTTCGATTTTTTTTTTTAAATAGAAAAGTTAATATTGACAAATATTAGTGGGATGTAATCATTCTTGAACAAATGGGAAAATTAACTTTTAAAAGCAATTTTTTTTTTTATCTACATTAAAATATAGTTCCAAAGTTGCATAAGAAAATGTATATCCGTTATTTTAGCGCATGCATGACGAGTTTTGAGTGGATGATATTTAGAACGATCACAATCTCCTTAAAAAGTTGAAATGCATTTC